TTTTTTTTTTTTTTCAACATATTGTAATAATTTAATGAAAAAAGCTACATTTACTAATTTGATTATTGATTTATGCAATATCTATCTTTTATTACACATTGTAATAATTATATGAAACTAATCTAATATTACTAACTCGATTATTGATATATGGATTTCCCACCTTTCTCTTTATTACATATTGTAATAATTTTATAAAAAAAAAGCTAGATTTACTAATTCGATTGTTGACGATATTGTAATAATTTTATTACAATTTTATTTATTATTTTGTACAATTTTATTACAATAATTATTGTAATAATTTTATTTCCCACCTTTTTCTTTATTACACATTGTAATAATTCGATTTTATAAAATAAGGTAGGTTCACTTTGTAATTATTATAAATATTATTACACAAAAAAAAAATAAATTAATAATAATAATAATAAAAGTTGGGGGAAATAAACGGTCTCGTTACGTAACAATTTCGTTGGGTTTGTAATCGTTAAATCATCATGTAACCGTTGGGATAGTTAATCTAACGGTTACAAATTCAAGACGAATTAGTAATAAGATGGTAATATCACCCAAAAGTTGGTGCCAAATGACGTTTGATTATTTCATACGTGGTATCTGCATGCGGTGTGTGGGGCCGATACCCGTCCAAACGGTGCAAGTTATCACAGTGGCATAACCGTAATATATCGTAATCCCAAGTGCTTTTTTTGATTACCGAAAATCAGCGTACAAAATGTGCTGAACTGAAAATCGAAGCACCCCATCGACCGAGTGAAAATAACACACACCTTTCTCTCTCCCTTTTACCAAAAGAGAGCTTTTTCCGCTTTGCCCGGCAAAAAAGCTTCCATTTTGCACACAGTTTTGTGTGTTTGTGTGTGTATATTTGTGTGTAAATACCCAATTTTTATCTATTATCTTCACCTGTCTCAATCTACAGAGGATCACGAACTGGGTGGAGCTCCTGAGGAAGGTGAAGCTGTTGTTATTTTTACTGCGTGTTTGATTCATTACTAGGAAAAAAACAAGAAATGAAAACTAGTAAAATGGGTCAATCTTGAGGGTGATGGGTTTTTTTTTGTGGAGTCCCAGGTTTTCGAGTAGAGCCCTAGTTTCGACTGTTGAAGTTTTTTGTTTCGGGAGCTGAGGTTTAATGGAGCCGCCCACCCCTGGTTCTCAGTTCATCACCCGGAATTCCAAGTGGGTTCTGAATTTATGATCCATTTGAGTTCAATTTTTGGTTCTTTTTCTTATTAATGCGGCATTTGTTTCTTGTTGATGTGGATGAACATTGGTGATTGTTCAGGAAAAGGGTCTTTCCGGCTGGAAGCTCGTCGTCGGGGCTTAAGGCGGCGGAGGTTTTGGAAGAGACGGCGTCTGGTAAAAGAATTGCAGCTTCTTTCAAGTGTAACGAGGTTAAAGTTTTCGCCTTTTCTTGTTTTTGTTTCCTCTTTCATGCTCGAGTTAATGAATGAGAATTAGAACATCTTGATCCTGATATGTGTATGTATGGTTGTCTGTTTCTTGAACTGTTTTGATATGTTTAGATATGGCCGCTTAATTCTTAGCATTGGTGGTTTGATGAATGTAGTATGATTCTTTCAAGTTTCAGCCGTTTTCTTGTAGTTTTAAGGTTTCCATGTTCGTTTTTGTGTTCTGCTATGGAGGTTTTTGTTTATACTGGTAAAGCTATCAGCTATATGCCTGAGCATTTGATAGTTTGTTGTACTACATTGTATGGAAAAATTGAAAGTGAGTAATTTCTGCTTGGTTGTAAACTGGGAACACTGATGATTTATGAAAGAGGTGAAGTTGGTGATCGGTGAAGAACGGGAATGTATGAAAAATTTAAGGTGAATTTATACGTGGACTAATTATGAATTTGTTGGGAATCTAGGGAAAAAAAAATAAGGTGAATTTAAATGTGGATATATTATGAAATTGTCGTGATCTGATCAGATTCTTATACTTTTGAACGGGTATTGCGAGGGTCACGAGTCCACGTGTTTCGAATCCCGTGATTTTGGGGTGCCGTCATTCACAGTGTTTGTCTGTTTTTTACGTATAGTATTTTAAATTGATAATAGTAAGTCACGTAGCTAGGTAGCAAAATGTTCCGACTTGTTCATTATCAGTTGTGTGAGACTTGTCACTTAGATCACATCTTTTTGTAATTCAAATGCTTTATAAAATATTGTTTCGTATATGTTCATATTTTAGTTGGAAGTCTTACGAATTCAACAATTCCTGGGCATAGTTACCAAAATGGGCAGACGAGATTGATTTTTATGCATAGTCCCCATAAATGCCTTTCTTTCTTTGCTCCTTGTTTTTCACCTATTGTCTTAAAGTTTTGTGACCGGCTGCTTTATAACCAACCTCTAATCTTTCGAGTCTCTTTGCAGGCGGCTTTTGTTCCTGAAATAATAGATGTCGATATAGAAGAAGACTGTACAGATATCATGCTTAATGACCAAGCTGACATAAAAGGCAAAGGCAAGGTAAGTTAATGTAGCTACCCTTTTTACACATTTTCAAGTCATTGCCTATATTTGCACTACCATAGTTAAATTTATCCCCGACATGTTATAATTTTGTACCCTTTTTCCCATCTAGGATATCCCGTTCAATATTCTAGCAGATTTCAGTAATTTATCCAACAATGGATTTGGGAGTGACACCAAAAACTCGAAAGAAATTATCAATTTGGATGAACCCAACTCTAATTTGTTTTCGGGAGAGGAAGATTGGATAAACACATACTATGATACCATAATAACACCTGATGACCATTCGAATGCGGTTTTGCAATCAAAGTTTGATCACACGAACTTATCGTCTGGGGTCGAAGGTCCCTTTTCCTGGCTGCAAAGCTCTCCTCAAAACATTACGAATAGTTCGAGTTTGAAAGTCAACTCAAATAATGGCCCCAGTCTTGCTTTCGGCCCTAGCTCGTCTGACTCAAATAATAGCCAGGCGGGCATATGGATAACAGGTACTCCATTTTCAAATCCAGGTGTTGATTGGAAGCCATGGGTTAGTACTTATAAACCTCAGAATTATCCTTTCTTATCCTTTGGAAAGAATAAAATGGATGCCTTCTCGTCAAATGTATATCCTCCCATGCTCAACCAATTTGCTCCGAGCATGATCAATCGGGGCATAATGAGACCTTCTGGATTTATGAATGCAAGTGCTTATGGGCCCGGGATGAATTATTTCGCTACTGATCAGAATGTACAGACACCTGTTGTGGTGCATAAGGATTTGGATGAGATTAAGAGAAACTTTGAAGCGTTTAAAAAGTTTGATACTGTCGAGGATTTTTCGGATCACCACTTTGCCAAAATTAGTGCTGCAAAACAGGTGTCTGTCGAACTTCAGTATGAATCTTTTATAATGTTTTATTTTTCTAATACTTTTAGTGTTCTCTTTTGTGATCTAATTGTTAATGTCAGGGGAAACCACCGAAGAACTGGGCCAAGAAAATACAGGAAGAGTGGAAGATTCTTGAGAAAGATTTGCCTGGTGATCCTTTTAATATTTTTTGTGCGCCAAATTTGTCTTTTAGAATTACTCTTGTTGATATATTGATCAGAGAAGAAAGTAACATTATGTCTTTTTTTTTATTTTTTTTTTCTTTTTTGCTTTCTAACTATCCATTTCCATATTTATTCGTTAAGATGCAAGCTTTTAGTCCTGTTGGTTAACGCCATAGCAGTTCTAGTCTCAAGGTTTCAACATTTTGCTTTTCTGTCCTGTGATTTAGTGATTTAATATTTTGCTACAATTTCAGTCGTCAAATTGCAACAAATTTCTAAATTCCCAGATTTTTTATTAAGCGATTAGCAATTTAAGTTGCAATTTCAGTCCTGTGTTTAATAATAATGCAGCAAAAATATTAAATCAGTGGACTAAAAGGCGAAAAGTTGGAATCTTGGGGCTAAAACTGCTATGGCGTTAAACCAACAGGACTAAAAATGCATTTTGCTTTTTCTTCTCATTTTCACTTACTACCAACTACCAACAGATACAATATTTGTGAGGGTCTACGAGTCCAGACTGGATCTCTTGAGGGCCGTGATCGTGGGGGCTGAGGGCACACCGTATCACGACGGTCTCTTTTTCTTCGATGTTTGCTTCCCTAGCAACTACCCCAATAGCCCACCTGTACGTTTTACGAACACGCGAATTCCTTACCATTTTTTTCCCAGTTGATTTAATTTTACTTTTGTTGTTTTTTTAATTATTCGCCAGAAAGTCCATTACCATTCAGGTGGCCTTCGGCTAAACCCCAACCTCTACAGTTGTGGTAAAGTGTGCCTGAGCCTTCTCAACACTTGGAATGGGGGAAAAGAAGAAAAATGGCTGCCAAATGTATCAACTATGCTGCAAGTATTAGTCTCGATCCAGGGACTTATCCTGAATGCTAAGCCTTACTATAACGAGCCTGGATATGCGAGGTTAAGCGGCACCAAAGCTGGAGAAAATGGGGCTTTGGAATATAACGAGACAACGTTCCTTTATTCCCTGCGAACTATGGTGTACACTATGAACAGGCCTCCAAAGGTAAGATGGAATAATAACAAGAAAACATGTCAAATACAATAATAATAATTAATATTGGTTAAATTAGGTGTTTGGGTAAGCCTTAGTTAATTAAGGACTTTAAATCTTACTCCCTCCTGCAAAGATATATAGGCTTGTTCCTTTAGTCACACAATTTAAGAAAACGTAAAGCCTAAGGGCTGCAAACGAGCCGAGCCGAGTCGAGCATTGGCCTTATTGAGCAAGATTGATTTTTTATTTTTACCTGGAGATCGGCTCGACAAAAGAAGACAATCGCTCGAGCTCAGCTCGAGATCGATTGAAATTAAAATGCTCGAAAGATTGCTTGAGATCGGCTAGTTCGACTCAAATTTCAAGTAAAATTACATTAAATAGTAATATTTATATATACGAGGTATTTTAGTAATTCACTACATATCTTGAACGGCTTGACCTTCCAAAACCTATGCTCGAGATCAACTCGATAACATGCTCGAGCTCAGAGCATCGGCTCGAGTTCGGTCAAACTCGAGCTCAAGATGAGCTTTGACTCGAGCGCTCCGGAGCCGCTCGGTTCGTTTGTAGCCCTAGTCAAGCCTCTGTTGTTGGGAAATAATTCCGCACTATCTTCCTAAGTTACACGTTAAGTTGCTAAGCATGATATTTGATTGTGCTATTGATGAAGTGAACTTTCACTATTCTAACTTTACCTATTTAATGAAATAATAAGTACATCTTTACGGGACAACAAAAAATGGTAACCAAGTGTCAAGTGTGTGTCGGAATGTGTATAGAATTCAGATCTCAGTATTCAAATATTTATTATTGTTAGTGCTAATCGTCACGAAAGGTAAATTAAATCGTTGTCTACAGTTCTCATGAACACTTCCATTTTCAAAGGACTCGTAACATTTCCAAATGTTTAGAAAAAAAATTCGGACTTTATATGTGATACCTCGACATTGAATTTGTTTTGCAGCACTTTGAGGCTTTTGTGTCGGGTCACTTTGTGAACCGCGCTCGGGAAATTTTGGTCTCGTGTAGGGCCTACCTGGAAGGGGCCCAGGTGGGTTGCCTGGCCCGTGGGGGAGTCCAAGACGTGGACGAAGGGGACAAGAGCTGCTCACAGACTTTCAGGGCCAGCCTGGCGGGCTTCATGGCCACGCTTGTGGATGGGCTCACGAGGACAGGGGCCAAGGACTGTCACGAGTTTCTCCCCTCGGCCCAGAAAGGATTCGGGCCCAGCTGGTTGCAGAATAAGAAAGAGGACACTCAGGCAGAGCATGTTGCTGCTACCTACAGCTGGTTGCAGAACAAGGGCTGAAAGGAGACAAATCGGAACTTTTTTTTTTTT